CCCCTCCCCCCAATACAAGAATCCTACACCCCCACAAGTGTCCCTCCAAGATCTGTTCCCTCCATCAATTCCCTCCATCTATTCCCTCCATCTCGGCGCGTAGGTAAGCAGCCAACTACCGATGTCCCAGTATAACAAAGAGAAGAAGAAACGGGGGCTACTACACTATACTATACTATACAATACTATACACCAAGAACCCGGGACGGGACGGGACAAGAGTACGGCTGGCTGGCTACCTAGCACTGTGGACTGGACTGGATGGGACGGGTTACAGAGCCATGATAGAATACGGTAGGACCCGAGGGTAAGGTGACGAAGCTATTATTTACCTTATACTGCGTGAGATCTATGAAAGGGAATAGTTGCGAGTACTAGTGTAAAAGTACGAGGTATGGATAGCGGGAATGAAGAGAGGTGCGACTTGTTGAAAATACCTGGCAGCAAGTATTTTTGGAAAAATGAAAATGAGAAACGGATCGAGACGCCAGAAAGAAACATGAGTAATCATTGGTATCATTCCACGTGAACTATGGTACCAAAAGTATTCCAAGGAGGTACCACCTCCCCACCCGTCCATCCACCCCAATCATCATCGTCAGGAACACAAACCCTTGAAAAAAAAGTAGGTGACCCATCCTTTCCTCTCATCCTTCATTTCATTTCCCATACGCCATCATCATCAAATGTCTGTCATTCATAACCCATCCGGGCCTTCATTATTTGCTTCTTAAAAAGGAATTAGCCATCAAACTTGCGCCAAGTATATCATCATCTCTTTCGGTCGCTAAGACGCGAGGTCAGTGATAAGTGTGAATATAAAAAAAACCTCTGCAGGGACTTACGTGCTTAACCGTCTAGAAAGTTGTTGCAATCCTTTATCGTTATTTGCAGCATCTACTGCTCTCTCTAGAGCCTGGGCTCGTCCCTCTTCACTCTGACGAACCACCTCTTCGTGAGTAGGTGGTAATCTCTCGTTTTGCAAATCGACCTTGCGGGCATCTTCGAAACTACTGATGGCATTCTTGATGCCTTCAGCTCCCAACATGAGAGTACCAGCTGGAAGTCTACCTCCAGAGGCAGTCTTTAATTCTGTAACACGTTCCGACTCCTCACGAAGAACCTGGAAAACTCGTGATAGACGCCCGATGGCGAGAATCTTGTTTCGGAGCGCGCGCTTCTTGTACTCAATTGAGTCAGGATCTAATGGAGTAGTAGGAGGCGGTGAAGCAGGACCAGGTGAGGCGGTAGATGGAGTCACATCTTCCTTGAGTTCGTCCTCGGAGCAAGTACCCAAGATTGCAATCAACATGTCAGTAATCTTCTCCCCCACGAATGGTAGCGACCAGGTGAAGACATCCATGAAATTTGGAAGCCAGTATGGATGAGGGGTGCAGTTGAACTGTCTGATATTCATGACATTGTTCTCGTATTTGAGGACAGCGGCCTTGTTGTTGTAGACATCCAAGTAGTTTGGCGCGGAGAAAATGGTCATTACACTAGGGAAGCCAGTTGTACGTGTCTTTCGATACATACGATATCCAGCGTCCTGCGCTTCGTGTGCACGAATGACAGAGAGAAGGTTGTTTTTCTCCAAGAAGTTGCAGGCAGCGGGATAGGAGAAGAAGTAAGAACAACCTCGCACGTGATTGTGAGTGAAGTATTCGGAAGTCTTCTCCTGACCGAAATCCTCGAGTGGATCAGCCCAAAGGATATCACACATTATACCATGAGTAGGAGGTTCACGGAAACGATCAATCTGGGAATGAATTAGTCAAGAGGATGGGAGGGAAGCCGTGAACACATACGGTTCTGATATCGTCCAGGGTGTGTAACTCGGGACTCAGACCACCGTGAATACACAAGAATTGCTTGTTCATGACCGCGGCCAAAGGTAGCGAGCAAAAAGAGTCCATGGTCGCATCGTAGATCCTTTCGGAATATTTGTGTTTGCACTCCAGCTTGAAGGTAAAGTAATCGGTCAAATGTCTGCATTCGTGGTTCCCTCGAAGCAACCACAAACTGTTGGGGTACCAGATCTTCAAGGACCAGAGATAAAGCACGCACTCAATACTGAAGTAACCTCGGTCGACATAATCACCCAAAAAGAGATATCTGGTCTCAGATGGGTCTCCACCAACTTCGAATAGCTTCATCAAATCGTAGTACTGACCATGGACATCTCCGCACACTGTGATCGGCGCATCCATTTCCAGAAGATTGGGTTCTTGCTTCAAGACCTTGGTGCCCTCCTCAATGATGTAAAGCGCTTGTTCCTCGGTCAAACGGCCCTCCCGATAGAAGTGCTGCTTCAAGAAGGTCAAATTTGGCTTGGAAGGGTCTTTGGGATCGAAAAATTGCTCGTCGGTCGGTGGGTGCATCGCTGGAGCCTGTACATCTGCAGTGTATAGTGTCAGCGTTGTGGTGCTGGTTGCGAGAAGATACAAGAGGGGTAAAGGGGAAAAGGGCAAGTACCTTTGCACACACGCTCTGTTGTGTTCACAGTTGATCCATCCTCCATCGTGTGAAGAGTAAAATCAATCTCTGGCACCGGCTTCTTGGTCTGAATAGCCCTTAGAGCATTGTCGACCTGGAGCTTTTCCTCCACGATGCGAGGCGTGGTGGGATTGTCTTCGCCGTCCATGGTGGCGATTGAGGGTAGAGATGCGGGGATTTGGAGGTATGGAAATCACGATCAAACGAGCGACAAGATGTGCCTCGGCGTATTGAAGCGGTTGAAGCCCGGTGGCGGTGATTATGTTGATGTGGTTGAGGTTGTCAGAGACAAGCGGAATTGGAAATTCTGATAGACGGGAGCGATTGAACTGTCGTGGGGCACGCGCACTTGCACCTAGCGGCGGCTGTTGGTCAGCGCTATGGTAAATTTGTGATTAGATGGGACGGTAACGGTGAATGCGATGTGTGATGGGCCGAGCTAAAAATTGACAGGAAGGACGTGATCTCTTGCGGGGAAAGCGCACAGTCGTCAGACGTCGAGGTCGAGTTGTACGGCGAGAGAGCGAGAGTGGTAAGGCTGTACTTGAGTAGGTAGGAAGAGTGAGGATGTCGAGGGGGATGAAGTGAGATGGGATGAGAGTGAGTGGTGATGGTGATGGTGGTCGTGGCGGTGGTAGAAGTACAGACAAAGTTGCAACTTGCTATGGTGGAGTACTCGGTAGAGTAGCGTAGCGAATGGATTCAGATTCAACGACTCAACGTGAACGTAATGTTCACTCGTTCACTCACCGTAATCTGGTGCTGCTGCTGGCCTGCTTGACAACGTATCAACGTTCACCTCGTAGACTCTCCGCTATTGCTCCGGGGAAAGAGGACGGCAGAAGGGGCCACCACCGCTAAGAAGCTGAAAGTTCTTCAACCACCCAACCATTCGCACTCACCGAAAGCCCCAGAAGAAGAAAGGGTCCTCGGGGGTCCTGACTACTACAGTGAGGGGGCCATCCTAGAAACAGCCAGACCCCAGTCGAGGTTGCCTAGTCTAGCTTCTCCTGACTCAATCTGTGGGGGACGAATAGCGCAAAGCCGGAGCCGCTGGAAGTCACAACAACCAAGACCAGCTCCCCTCAACCACCATTGCAAGTCGGAATAGCTTCATCTTCGTCCGGCGTCAAGTAGAGCATCGGAATCACGCGCTTCGCACCGGCCAGTGCCCGTGCCCTTAGTCAGGAGTCGGTTCAAGGGCTCCAGGGCCCAGGGTCCAATTACATGGCAGCTCGTCATTAAACACTAGACACAGCCCTCTCGCTCTGGCAAAAGTACAGTTGTGGGATTCCCATTTGGGTGCCGAGCAGAGCCTCATCATATCGCGTTGCTGCAGGCTTGATCCTTCGCGGCAAGCTCAAGTGTACCAACCACTACCACCCACATCCAACTACGGCTACAGTACAGCTACCGCTACCCTTCTACCATTCATTTAATCCAGCTACCAACAGATCCATCCATCTCCCGCAAGATGCACGATAACCGTATTTACACCCCTCCTGGCCTCTCCCGCGAGTATCAGTATTTATACTAACTACCAGACAGGTCCCCATCCATTACTGGAGCAGGTCCCCTTGACCGTCTCGCCCTTTGTATCTCTCCCTTCTGCCAGACCACTACCACCTTCATACAAGACACTGCCATCCAGACTACCTCTATCGTCTACAGGAGCGTCTTCGTCGTCAGAAGAGAAATCCAAATACGTTGTATCAAACTCGGGGCATGCAGCGCACCCCAATGACATTATCAAATCGTGCAATGATCTGAAAGCATATATCCAGAAAATGCAAGACGATGCCGACAAGGAATTGAAGGCTTGGGATGATGCAATTGCCGCTAGAGATCTGGCAGAGAAGCGGAGGGTGGCTCCCGGATGGCTGGATAGTGATGCCAGGATATTGGAACCCGAAAAGATATCAAATAGAACGTCTATTGTTCAAGGGGCAAGTTTAATGGACGTCGATGTATCAAATATTGAAGCAAAGGGACTACAGCATACCGCAATCGCAGTACCGGCGGGAGAGGGGCAAGGAGATGAACTTGATCGGGCTTTTGGGGGACTTCAAGTTGGAATAAACAAGTAAGAAGTAACAAATGAATTTCACAAAAAATACTCGTCCAATATAGTTAGTTTAATATGAAAATGACACATCGTTTTGCAAATAGGTTCCCATGCTGCAGCCAAGCAATGCCTACTATCTAGCTATGTAATGCCGTGATAGTGGTAGTGATAGCTCATGGCGGGGCTGTTCAGATGGCAGCCTTGCGTGTGAGGCAACCACAGCAACCTCAAGCTCACCTCACGAGCTCCCTTACCAGCTCCGGATTTTTATTCCCTGAACATCATTCACAGGATGCCTCCACGAATACCGCGCCTTGCACTTGGACTCACAAAATTATCCAAGGCCAAGAATAAAACTCCTGCGTCGCACCCGCAAATATGTCCCATTTGCACATTTGCAAGAAATTCACAACGACCATCCTCAACAAGACGGTCGCAACTCCAGTCAAATCGAATTGGTAGACGCCAACAATCCAATGCTACGGCTGCCGCAAGTGTCCAGTCCTCGGCGCCTCAAGTTGCCATTTCACCTAGAATTGAACTTCGAGATGCCTTGAATGACCTCCAAAAACATGCTGCCAATTACGTCAATATTTCGAGACTGCAATTGGCTTTGCGCGGATTAGAACAATCCACGGGAGACGAGATCATACGAATTGCTATTCTGGGACTGGCAGATGGTGGTGATTCATTAAAAAAGGCAAAGCAGCTCGTACGCTTGCTTTTAGCTGACCCTTTAAAGGCAGAGGAAGAATGGGAACGGGGATTACTTGATGAGCAACCTGGGAATCGACCACTGTTGTTACGGGTAGGGAATGAAGGAGAAGAGCCAGTTTATAGTAGTCGAATGGTTCAGGAGTTACATATATCTTCACCCACCCTCAATGGCCATAAATTGGAAATCTTGGTTCTGGAAACGGGCCTACAACAAAGCACATTCGGAGCTGGAGAAAATGGGAGTTTGGATGACATGCTGTTGGTGCCGACGATGGAGATACCGACTTCGGGATCGGGTCGATATACTCCAATTACTACACCAGTTCACAAATCTTTGATTGTATCCAAGGGTATTGCTGGGGCTTCTTCGCTGATATCCAGTCGCATCACCACGGAGAGGGATATCATTGGATCAGCTGTGGACATACGCGTTGGAGAAGACGAAGACCCAACGTCCCTACCATTTCAAATAATCAATATCGATTTGGGAAATACCGCCCTTTCTTCATTCCGTCAGAGCGTGAACAATGCTTTGGACTACGAGCATAGCTGGTTTGCAAGCGGGATTCCCGAGATTCAGAGCTGGTTAAAATCAGGATCCTCTGTAACTGAAGGAACGATGAAAAAGCCAGTTCAGAAACTCATTGAATCGCTACTGCAATCTACCAATAGCGCCATCCAAGCAGAGCAAGCTCGCCAATTAACTGCATCTCTCAACTCACGAATCTCCAACTCCCAGATAGACTCCTTAAAACTAGACCTCTCAAAATGGGCAGAAAGCGCCCACACAGAGCTCCGAGACCATCTCGATATAGCGTTCAACGGCCGCAGATGGCGAAAATTGGGTTGGTGGAAGTTATTCTGGAGAGTAGATGATGTCTCCATGATAGCCAGTTCCATCCTCACCCGCCGCTTCCTCGTCGACGCCGAGAAAGAAGTCATCTTTCTAGCCGGCCGCATCGTCGAAGCAGGAGTCTTCAAAAACGCCCCAGACCCAGCGATAAAACACTGGGCCTACAAACCCCTCCAACCTCAACAACTCGCCGAGCCCAAACTCGGCTCCGAACCCAGGCCACCAAAGTACAACGATCTCTTCACCCCCGAAGACGGCGAAAGAGGTCTCAAAAATCAGAATTGGCCCCTCCACATCCCTAGCACCCGAGCCTACCTTTCCCAAGAAAGCGTACCCGCCCTCCAAGCCCTCGCACAAAAACTCGTCCTCCAGACCCTCACTACCACCTCCTTATTCTCCGTCCTTGGGGGTCTAACATACATTTCCACCCTCGGAACGACCGTTTACGAAGCCGGTGCCGTCACTTCCTTGGGTGTCGTCTGGGCCCTCCGACGGATGCAAGGGAAATGGGAGGGCGCGCGGAAATTCTGGGAAGGCGAGGTGAGGGAGGAAGGGAGGAAGGCGGTGAGGGGTGTGGAGGGTATAGTGGGGGGTGTGTTGGAGGCGTCTGCGAAATCGGTAACGGTTGAGGGCGCAGATGAGGAATTGGAGAATGCGAGGAGGCTGGTTAGCATGGCGGAGGGGAGGTTGAGGGATTGTTGTGGTGATATACCGAAGTTCGAGGAGGAGGTGTAGGGTTGGATGATTGTATAATAGAAGAGAATAGACTATAATTACCAGATGAAAGGAGAGGAGAAAACACGAACTCTTCTTCTTATAATTATTCTTGTGAGATATTTACTGTAATGTACACATAATCCAGTCCAGTACCCGCAAGCGAGCGGGAAAAGGGGGGAGGGGAGGGTGAGGGAGGGTTAGGAAGGCAGGGAAAAACGTCGGAAATATATATACCTTGATGTAGCTGTGCTGTATCTTGATATTCACTATACTGTAGTACTGTACCACTGGACATTTCTCAATTTCTCTAACCCTTTTACTTTACTTTACTATACTTTACTTTACTATACTTTACTTTACTATACTTTACTTTACTATACTTTACTTTACTATACTTTACTTTACTATACTTTACTTTA